ACATCTTCAAGTGGCCAAAGTTAAGAAACACTGCTATAATTGATCACATCCATCTGTTTAGAATGAGCCATTACAATCATGGATCTGACATTTTTTCAGCAACTCCTTGATACTAAACAGGAAACCAAATCATAAAATCTTCATGGACTTTGACATGAAACCTGAAACTTGAAACCCTGGACAAATCGCAACCATCTGCCTAAACAGAGCTGTAACAGTTGGGGACCTGACAATTATTGGTGTGTCCCAGATATGATCCAAATCATGGATTCTCATTTCTTGTGAACTTCTTTAGAATGACCCGCCCTGAATCTGACTATTTTTGGCATTGTCGTACCTAGTGCTGCACGAAATACTCAGTTGAGCAGATATGCACACACACTCTCACACTCACTCAGCCAAATCTCAGTGAAACAAATCTAGATCAACCCTTCTGTCCTCGATCATCACACCAATGAGTGCTGTCTTATTCTAGATAGAGCTGGCACTGATCAACAGCACTACCAGATGAAAGGGGAAATTGTCATAGCAACCCATCATCCATCTCACACCTCTACCCCTACCCTTTTCCAGAGAACTAGGGAAGGACCCTTCTGAGATGCTTTCTCCACCCCATCCCTCCTTTGGATTTTGTTCATCAGACCGTTGCCTATGTTGCAGCTCTTCCTCCTATCTCCCAAGGTTATTCTCACAGCCCATTACATCCTTTCTCCATCCCCATCGCTGTCTCTCACACACACACAGACATGAACACAAACAGATCTCTTATGCCATCTTCTGATGAAATAAAAGGATGCAATTGAGGTAGAACATATTTGGAGAAGACTAGAAAGTTGGAAAGGGTAAAAGTGTTCTTGTTTTCCCTTTTTCTTTCCTTAATATTGAACCTTATGTATACAATGAAGAGAAAGAGTTTTGTTAAGCATGTTTTGATTTTTGATTATAAGTCGTTAAGTTGATTTGACTCATAGTGACCACATAGCTAGAACTTCTTCAGGATGATCTGTCCCCAGTCTGAGCTTTCAGTTCTTCCAATGGTACAGCTATTGTCGCTGTAATCTAGTAAATCTACCTTGCTGATTATCATCCTTTTCTTCTTTTTCTTTCTATCTTTTTCAGCATTATAGACTTCTCTAGAGAGCTAGGTCTTTACATAGAATGTCCAAATTATGATAATTTGAGCCTGGTCATTTGTGCCTTGAATGAGAACACTAGATTTATTTGTTCTATTATCCATTTGTTTTCCTTGCTATCGATGATATTTTCAGGAATCTTCTCTTACCCAAAAGTTCAAAAGCATCAATATTCTTTTTATCCTGCTTCTCCAAAGTCCAACTGCCACTTCCATAAAGTGTCATGGGGAAAACGGTTACCTGCAGAGTTCTGATCTTTGTAGATATAGGTGTGTCATGGCATCTGAGATCTTTTCCCAGTCTTTCATTGCTCCCCTACCACATGCTAGCCACCACTTCAGTATACTTACTGTCACTTCCAAGGCTCATTGCTGAACCTATTATAATATATATAATATAATATAACCTATTATAATTAGCTTGGTCTTCTATTTTCTTGTAGTCCCATGTTTTTCCTGTGCTCCTTGTTCCTTGGCTTTCATTACTAGAGCTCACAGATCATTTGCATGTTCAGCTATCAGAGTAGAGTCATCAGCATAGCACAGATAATTGATGTTTTTTCCTCCAGAACTCTTTAGGCATTTATTTACAATCTTCTATCTGTTTGGGAAATCAAGCAAAGGCATTATCTACAAAGGCCCAAAAAGCATTTCTAGCTATTATTAAATTTGCAAGCTGACATGGGAATAATTTTGACCCAGTTGCCAAAGTTCTGAATATTTTGCTTTATGGAACTTAGTTGTGTATCTATAAGATCTTAGTCTTGGATTCCATACAATTTAAATTTCTTAAACCAATACAGTAGCATGCATCCCTCATTTGACTTCTAACGTCCTAATGCAATTAGAATTGGGCTGCATCTGTTTTAAGGTTCACACAAGATTATGCCACTTAAGGTCTTTGGCAAAGCAAATACTTTTGGGGACTTCTTTGGCTCACCTTGCCCTGAACAATAGATCTGAATCTATTCTGTAAAGACAAATTGAGCAAGATCTGATGTATTGTGGTTTGTCAAAACCAATCTTACTTATCATAGGCCCTGATACTTTAAGCAGAGAGTCCAAGACTTAGATATTCAGGTGGATAGGGCTTACAAATTTTAAACATTAAAAATTGGTTTGGCAGTCCTGCAGATGTCATTTAAAAGAAGTCACATATGACATGATGCCCACTGTTACGCTCATGCCAGACCCTGGCTTATGTGGTGGTCCACAAAAATATTCAGTGATAATGTATTGATCACCATAAAATAAAAGGTTATGAACTGCTGACATAATATGTATCTAATCCCAACTCCAAATTCCCTCCCAAAATACTTATTATAAACTATAAGGATGGTGCCCCCTCTCCTAGGGTTCTGGAAAGCCTTGAAAACCTGGCTCTGGTCCCAGGCCTGGGGTTGATGTTTGTCATTGTTTAATGGCCCCTGTTTTGTTTTGTGGGTTTGTTAGCAGAGTATTTTAGTCTGGTCTGCCTGTTTCTTGAAGTTTTTAAAGATTTGTATGCTGCCCAGAGTCCACTGGAGTTGGGCAGCCAATAAATTTAAATAAACAAATAAATATAAATAAATAAATAAATAAATAAATAAATAAATAAATGGCTTATACAGATTAATTTGTTCTTCTCCCCACAATCTTCAGTTCCCCAACTGCTCAGCATTCCATACTAGCTAAAAACTCGCCAGTATTTGACCTTTGGATAAATACATTTCTTTTAATTTTAAACTTTATATACTTCTCTGGATATAAGGAGTTGTACAAATATATTTGTTAATTACCCTTTGTTTTTGGATGGCCTTATTTTACTTCTAAACAGATAGGTACTCAGCTAACCCAATTCATTATTTTAAAGAATTATTATAATATAAAAAGGGAGAAATATTGATTAAACTAGAACAGTAATCTTCCCCCTTTTTAGATTTAGAATCCATTTTCTGGGCCAAGATGTACTTAAGGATCCATTCTTAATTTTTTAAAAATATTGTATTAGTATGACAGTAGTGCTGTTCCTGAGATCAATGATAGATGAGACTAACTCAGTAGAGGGTTCTAGCTCACTAATGGAAGACTAATTATCATAGTGTGGTACTCTGAGTAGTATTAAATAGGAATTGGGATACTCAATTCATAACTGCAGCTTTTTAAAATATATGACAAATATATTAAGAGTAGTAACATAAGAATTACCACAACAATGCAAAATGATTACCAAAAGGACTCCAATTAGAACACTTTCTGCTTTATCACATGAGAGGCACATATTAGAGGGTGTCGAGTAATTATAATCTTAGAAAATACTATTTAAATACATTAATTTAAACTATTAGAAACAAAGGAGTATAATGATCAAGATTGTCAGTAAATGTTCCACCATTTAAATTTACCCAAAGTCACAGTAGCCATCAGATATAATTTCATTATAATTTAATGAGAGAAAAACATGCTATCTAGAAGATACTTGAGTTTATAATATTATGTAAAAGCTGAAGTTTGGAGGTTAGTTTTTCCATTGCTGCAGTTAGCCAGACTTTTCAAACCAGCTATTAATAGATAACCCTTTTAGATCACACCAATATCTAGCAATAACCATATGTGCAGCTATAAACAGGTAAGCTAAATTTTAAAAATTACATTAATCACTGGGGAATTACCTGTGTTGGGATGTATATGGGAAGAATGTGTCCCTCTTGGTTCTATTCAACCTCTAAGTGACATTCACTACCATCAACTATGGTATCCTTGTGGACTGCCCACTAGGATTGAAAACGGGATGGGTTACTGTTCTACAGTAGTTCTGCTCCTTTCTAAGTAGGCAAAAGCTATTGTTGGTGGTCAGAGAAAAGAGGTAGGTCCTGCAATGTTCAGCTGTTTCAGCTCTATGTTTCAATAATTACATGAAACTGCTAGGAGAGGTTATCTATTAGTTTGGGATTAGGAATGATCAGCATGCCAATGATACCCAGATTCAGGCTGTGGAAATCTTGAACTGGTGTCCATAGGCTATGGGAGCCTGACTGGGTCA